ACTGCATTTTACCTCTAAATAATTCAGATGAAATCAGATGTTTTAAGCACTTAATTTAAAAAAAAACGCACTTAATCCCTCAATGTCTGACCGATTCAGACATAAGAGGCAATTAAGTGTTTTTTTTTGAAAAACAAACAGCACCTTATTCACGATTTCAAACTTCAATTAACGATCTCCCGTTTGAAGCTTTTTATATTTTTGGACTACGTTCACGTTATCGTTGATTTTATAATGAAGTTTTAATATTATTATTGGATAGTAAGCGTAAAATGCGATAGGTATAAACCACATAAATGCATAGCTTTTTACAGTTTGATGTATATGCAGTATGGTTTGCGGATTAGAAAAAATCTCAAACCGCATATGCAATACGTTTTGGCCCTAAACCATATCAAACGGTACCGTGAAGACACAGTTGCATAAAACGTTAGGTAGGACACACACATTTACCGTTTGTTAAGGGGCATACGCCATAACCTTACTTCAGTTACAGAAAATGAAAGTTTTATGTTGCACATGTAATTCCGGACACAGATACACACCCACCAGTAGTTTTCAATTAAGTAATTTTTTTTAAATGTTTTAGATTTCTGGTTTTAACTTATATTTTCACTACCGTTCCATGTATTTAATTTAATTGGTATATAAATATATAATCCCTTTCTTTTACGAACCAAAGTTTTAGCATAAACCGATAAATCAATTTTTATGTCCCATGTGAAAATGCAATGTGTTTTATACATAAAACGTTCGAGGCCGTTTGTTTTTTAACACAAAACAGTCATGCATGTTTCATATATGAAACAACATTGTATAAACACTACATTTTACATTTTGTTTCATATATGAAACATATGGAAATTGGTTATAATGTTTTTACTAAAATATTGGTTTTGGAAGTCTTGATATATAATTCGTCCCCATATCATGGCTTACTCATGGGACGCTTACGAAATACTTATCAGGCAAGCATACCATCCTCTTACCTTGTCGAGTTACATTTTTATGGCCATCAAATTGGATTATTTTTAAGCATCTCTTATCCGGTAAGCACTAACCAGGTAAAAGTCTTCTCCTTATTTACCAGGTAAAAACTCAGTTATTGTCATATACTTTTTATCGGATAAGATTTCTGATCCTAACCATGTTAACATGGTAAGTTTTTAATAAAAGACTCCTTAATGCCCTAAAAAACCCACTTTACATCATCATTATCATTAATTTATTATCTTGGTTTCCAAAAGTATTTCCAACAATTATTTGAGCCAATAGCAGTATATCAAGCTGTGGTCGTTGCTAGAGATGCGACAAACCTTACGGAAACAAGCATCACCTGAACCCTCTCAGGTTCTGCTTAACGTCTTAACCACCTTGCCATTATTATTCACCAATGCACACTTTATTACCTCTAAGTTGCCATATACATACCATACTGCAACTACTACTACTACTACTACTACTACTACTACATGCATCTTCTTACAGAACTACCAGCTGCACACTTTTACCCAAACATTTTACTCTCTAATTAAAACTGCACACAACTTTTAAATCGGGCAGCGTCAATTAATTCATGGTTTTGATGATATCTCTCTCACGTATCTCTAACATGAGGGACAGCCATTTTAGGACACTGGATACAATCTTCCATCTCCTTTGAGCTTTAACAATGGCAGAATGGGGAAACAAAAACCCATCAACTGCACATTGTAGGTCTGCCTCTGAAGATGTACCAAAATACTGCATATCCACATCTTGACTCTTTAAAGATTCCGAGTCACAAATCAAGGTGTCTGATACTTGGCAATGCAAGTCCACTGGTTGATCAAATCTAAGATCATCAGATTCCATGCTATTTAACCCATATTCATCTAAGCTACCAATATCCCCCATAGGAGGATACATGATGGATGGCATCACATCTGGAGACGGTGCACTCATTTGTGGGTAATCAAATCGCCCTTTTGTATGGGAAGCTATTGTTTTGTTGCATTCAGAATCTCCTGCTACTGTTAGGGCATTTGTGGGGTAAATATCTTCAGAGATAGAGCAAGTACCTGTTTTAAGAGAAGCTTCATCATCATAACAAATAATTTCTTCTTGATGTTGAAAGGAAGAAATCACCAACTTATGTGCTTCAGCCTGAATACGCAATTTGGTTGGACATTAGTCATCGTATATAAAATGATTTAAGTCAAGTAAACAAAGGAAATTGACCCTTCTATTCAGACCTTTGAATTGTGAGGGGGCAAAGAAATATCCAAAAATCTTTAATTTCTTGAGTAATATCTCTTGTTAGAGCTAGAAAGAGATGCATATAACAAATAAAAGGATTTTCAAGAGGGATAAGTGCACATAGCAGTAACGTACTTTTCCCATTTTAAACAATATGCTTTTTTATACAAAATAACATCTTTTCATTTTTGTCCATTTAAACAATGCACTTTCCTCATTTTACACAAACATAGTAAGATACTTCAATTTTCACCCATTGATAAATGACTTCTTTTTGTATTTTAATTGTCGTTTGTATTACAATTTGATGGTCAAACATGTTGTATAAAAAGTACATTCCCTAACAAATGTTGCTATAGGGTGCATTTAACTCTTTTATGAGAGATAATAAGCTCACCAGTTCAGTTTCGGAAAGCTTGTCAGCAACAATGTACTTGCTGTCTGAAAGAAGTCCAAGGACTTGCCCCACAACATTAAACACAACACCATCTCTGTTCAGAGATCGAGGACAGTATAAATACAACTTCATATCATCGATCACACATCTCCTGGCGTGCTCCATAGTGACTTCCCACATTTTAGTAGACATACCTGAGCCAAGGATCTGCAGAGCCCAAAAAACAATAATGACAGACTATGAATGGAGTTAACACATTAATTATGTATATCGCATACATAGCGATACACTGTTGACTAGCAGCACGTAAATTTTCAAAAACATAAAGAACCATCTTACATTTCGAAGCCTTGCTGGGTCCACGTAGGAAAGAACCAAGAAATCTTTCACCGTCTTTATTTTTTCCTTATTCAGCCGCTTGTGAAAAGCTCCCTCTTTCCCAATTTTTTCAAGTCTCCATACCTCATCAGACAGATATGGTGGGTGATGCTTCTTGTACACTAGAAACAAAAAGGTTAAACTTGTATTGGGTTCAACTCAAAAAGTTGGACGGACAAAATAAGATGCATTATAGCATCATCCTATAAGATGACACCTTGCATTCAAAAACCGGAAACTGGAAGTAGCTCAAGTACCTAGCATTTTCCTAAATATTAGGTTCAAAATGTGAAACCAAAAGTAGCCATCTCCAAGCACTACTAGGTAAAATTTGCAAATACAATGGAATTTAAAAAACTGATATGAATTTTAGTTGTGGCCACATGATTTATCTGTACAAGTGCAGGATAGGACTAAAAACAACCTCTGATCCTACCCATGATAAATATAGCAGATACTCACATTCACCACGATGATCCCTGACGACGAATGATTCTGACTTTGCTTCTCTCACTCTGTCTCCATTACAATTATCTAAAACCCGTGCTCCCAGCCTGAACTTCCGGCTCCTTGTCCAGCTTGAATTATCCGAAAAGGAAAGATCACCCACTAGACCAAAGCCTTCTTGGAGATTCAAAAGTGCATTCCCAGTAAGAAGGGCTTTCTTCCCTTGTCTCTCTCTAACAATGTTATTATTGAACTCTTCAAGCGTCCAATTGTCTCCTTCATTGCTATCGAAGTCTCCCTCGAGAACCACTATTTCCACCGTTGCTGACGACTCAATTCCACTTGAAACTGTTTTTCCAGTAGAAGCATCAATCAAAGCTACTTTCAGTGTATTACAGTCTCCTCCTTCAATACGGGTTCCGGTAAAAACTGGGAGAGACAGACTACTTAGGAACTGTAATTGTAGCCTTCTCGGAACATAAGAGTCCTTTTCGTTCTCAAAATCCCTATGGAGAGAGAGCATATATTGGCCTTAACCCATGGTTATCAACTACATGAGGAAAATATTATATCCATCAAGCAAAGTCATACAACTTACCAGTTCATGGAAGCCATATGTTTTTCCATAGCTGATTCAACTTCCTCTTTCACCTACCAGACTCAATTCATCAACAATAATGTTAGAAAAAAAAACAATGCTTATTCTATAAATACTATGTAGAAAGGGAAAATCAATGGCAACCACCAGAAGTTACTACTACACTGAACGTTCTACTTTTCTTTACAAGCTATACGTAATTTAATGACACAAGATGGTTGTGATCAATTGATACTTGATGTATCATTATTTCAAGGATCCACTGGGACTTTTTTGAAGTGACTTTTTAGTGGAGGCCAATCAGGTTTTCAGAATTGAACTGGGCAAGTTCTGTAGGCATGCCCTGGAGTCTACGTTGCATTGTGTAAGCAGGTACGTTGTTATAAACTGCAACCAGCTAGAATGTGACAAGGTCTATTAAGGTGAGCATTAGTGTGTAAAATGCCATGAGAAGGCTTTATATTGTACCATTGAGTCAGATTTACATGGTGTTACAAGGTTCCACCAATGGGCTTTGCTAGTCCCCTTAAAGGAAATCACAAAGTATTAACCTCACCATCTCTTGTAAGGTCCCAGGTCCCATTCTTTCACTAACCAATTTAGTATGATGATTACACAGGGAGCATAAGAAACATATCGACTCAGTGAATTATGATCTGGTTTTTCAGTTGTTTATTGTTGTACAGATTTTGGAACAACAAAAGTGATTCTACAATTTCTTTAATTTCTCTGAAAAATGATGCAACTCCAAACTTGATGTTCAAACCATGCAACTTGATGATCTAAGTTCAAATTTGGTACTCAAACTTAAATTCCTAGAACTTATTTGACCTTCTTTAACATAGATTCATCTTAAATTTAGATCCTAAGAATCCATTAAAGCTACCACTAATGCCATGATTTAGATCATGTAACATCCTAGCACCATCCACACAAATAGGATCAAAGCAAAATGAGAGAAAAAGAAGTTTTCACATACAACTCTCCGGACTAAGGGCTCTAAAATCGGCTCCACGTACTTGTTGAATTTTGCGTATCTCATCGCCTCAATTACCACACTGTAATCAGAAACAAAAGGATAAAACAGACTTACTACTACAATAAAGCCATTTATTCTCACGTAAAATAAATAACCACTATACAAATTACCAAACAACACTTGTTACTCCAATAATTCAGCCAAAATCAATCAACCTAGTGGCGTCAATTGGAACAAAAAAAATAGGAAAACAAAAAATACACATAACCGGACTTACTTTCTGAAAGAAGGACGTTTACGTCGGCCACTGGCGGAGGAAGATGAGGAGGAAGGCTGCTCCGGCGGAGGCGAGGTCTTCTTCTGAGACATAATTCGTTGGTGGTGGTGGTGACTGTTACCTTGGGGGAAAAACTCAAATAATAGAGCTAGGTAGTAGTGGAAAATTGCTGGCGATCAACATAAACAAATAACGGATGAGGATGAGGCGGATCAATCGACAAAAATGAGCAACAAAAAGTGTCAGATCAGATTTCGACCTATAACTGAACTGAAGCGATACTGGCTTTGGTGCATCGGTGTCTGGCGGAGAGCAGTGGTGACGGAGGCGAAGCCAGAATTCAGTCATCAGAAATCTTTGGTGTAACTGAAAATGGAGATGAGGATGTGGACGAAAAGCGATGGGCCCCACCAAAACCGCGTCTCTAGAATGGTCCCACCAGCTGATGGCATGGACGCGCTTTAGAGGTGTGCAAGGGCGGGAACCCCTTCAACCTGAAAAAGCCATCCCAACCCAATTTCGTTTTCGAGACCTAAAATTTATATTTTGGAAAATTGGAAGGGTAATTGTGTAACGTAGTGAGATATATTTTAGTTTTATTATGTTGTTTTATTTTGTTTTTGTAAATGTTATAATACGGTTTTTATATGATTTTTGAGAAATGATAATGTTTTTATTTTTGAATAATATATAAATTCAAAGATAATTTTAAAAATAAATAAAGTATCAAATTAATTATTTAAAAGTTTTTGTTTTTTGTGTAATTTTTTTTATTTAATTTTTTTATTAATTTAGATTTAATAACAAAATAATTTATTTTTTAATTTAGATATATCTTAATTTTACTGTTTCTTTTTATTTCGTCTCTGTGGGTGTTGTAATACGGTTTTTATATGATTTTTGAGAAATGATAATGTTTTTATTTTTAAATAATATATAAATTCGAAGATAATTTTAAAAATAAATAAAGTATCAAATTAACTATTTAAATTTTCTTGTTTTTTGTGTAATTTTTTTAATTCAATTTTTTTATTATAATTTAATTTAGATT